AACTAGATATCAGGAACTTTTTAGAAAACAGAAGAAATTATTACTAGTTTTTGTTGTGTTACTCTTAATTTGCACATGTTCTAATGTTAAATAGTGTTTTTTGTTCTAAGCCAAAGTACACTTGCTACCCAGATAAACAGCTTTAAACATTTCTTTGGACTGCCTAAGACTTTTGCACAGTACTGTATCTTGTCGCAAATGTTCATGTTTTTGTACAAATCATTCTGCATTTTACAAATGAAAATTTACAAGGCACAAGTTGAAAGGCATTGTATACTGTATGTATATGGGGAATGTACTGATATATCATATATAATAAGGGCTCTTCCTCTACCTCAACAGCCTCCATACTTATTAATAATCTGAAGGAAGATGGTCAGACTGATGTAGAGAAACAGGTCCCAGGACACCAACCAGAGGGGCAGATGTATCTTGGGCACCTACCTGGTCTGGTTCAGGATAACTGTATCTCTGAAGAAAGGCGATCCCTTGTGTTAATCTACAAAAAAGTTAATACAGTTTATACAATAGAGTTTTGTCAGCGTATCACATTTTAGTCAGTTGTTATGCATATCTTACTGATACCGAATATTACCATAAATTTTTGTATTGTCATAAGACAATAAATGCGTTTTTTACCTGAATGCTCTTACCTCTTTTTCATTTATTGCACATTCCACTTAAATGACAATTTGCACAATCATTCCCCACCAGTTAGGTGGTTAACTATTTATTCATGTGTGTCTTAATGGCCATGTCTTAAAATGGAATTTATATAATTTTTATGTTTAACTATTCATACTCTAGTTATTACTTTCTTATATGCATTACTAGAATCTAGAGTAACTTTTTCCACTAGTAGTACTTGTGCTCCTTACAGAACATTTTAGGAGCACCAGCACAAAATTTAGGCGCACCAATTAAATCGACATGCAATGCAACATATTTATATTTTTTGCCAATTTAACTATATTATAGATAAATGCAAGTTACAAAAACAACAATGTGATGTTTTATTTTAAACAAAAGAATCTTAGTGAAGTAGTGCTTTAAGAAAATTAAGTTAAATGGTGCTTTTTAAAATCTAAACACCAATGTTTGTTTCATTGTCACCAATGGGCTTATGGACCAGCCAGATATGACATCCTGCTCACATTGTTCCCAATTCGTGTTGTTATGATGACAACAGACTCACATTAGCTTTCCACACTAATCACTCTTTATCAGGTATTTTGACTGTGCTTTAAAAAGCAACTGTATTTCGATATTTTGAAATTCTCCAAAATACGGTTTCAGCAAAAACAAATAATGTAATATGCTTTGCTGGCATTTTACTGTCCAAGTCTAAATGATAGTTCCACTTACAAAATGCCTTTTCAGGTCATAAATGTGAAAATAATTTCAAGTACAAACATGTAAGCAGAGTTGTTGTGCATTGACCCTTGCATAGTTGATTAAAAATGTAGGCGTAGGAATCGATACATGGAACCATAATTCAGAGAAGAGATAGACAGGCTGGCAGTATGGTGCTCAGAAAACAATTTAACACTGAACATCAAAAAAACTAAAGAATTAATAATTGATTTCAGGAAACACAGTGTGGCTCACTTACCTCTCAAAATCAAAAGAGAGGAAGTTGAGAGAGTTCCCAGTTTCAAATTATTAGGGATTTACATCACTGAGGAACTCACATGGACCATCAATTCCACTGCCCTGGTAAAAAAGACCCAACAGCGGCTCTACTTCTTGTGGACACTGAGGAACAACGGCTTGGCTGTAGAGCTACTGAAAGCCTTTTATCAATGTTGCATTTAAAGCATTTTGACATACTGCTTAACATCTTGGTATGCCAACTGCACAGAGGCAGATCAGAAGAGTCTACAAAGAGTCATCTACACATCCCAAAATATAATAGGACAGACATTGACATCTCTGGAGGATATCTTCAGAACACGCTGTCTTCGTAGAACCACACTCATCCTGACTGATGCGGTTCATCCTTGTCACCGATTCTTTTCTCTGCTACCATCTGGGCAACGTTACAGAGCTGTTAAGGCTCGTACTTCTAGGCTGAAAAACAGTTTTGTACCGAGAGCCATCACGGAAGCGAACTTGCTGAAACTGTGCCCTCCCTCTGCTCAACATCGGTAACTTTGACTTTGATTATCTAATGACTGGGGGCTTTATTAAGGTTATGTGTGCGAGTGAGTGAGTGCATGTGTGGAAGTGACAGTATTTTTAGGTATTTTTTTAGGTATTTATTTAAGTAATTTTTAATTTAAGAATTAAATATTTATTATTCATGATGGACTGCAAATTTCGTTGTACATTGTGCAATGACAATAAAGCTATTACAATAATTCAAATGTTTTATGAAATTCCTGGTTCATTAAAATTTAGAAGCATTTCTAATTTGGAACCAGTTCTCAATTCCCAACCCTACACCTACTGTATCCTCACTCCTTCCTGGAGTTTCATGTGATATACGATGATAGTTAAAAAAGAAATTCCAAGTCGTACTAGTGCACCTAGTTAAAAAAAATGAGTCACACTGTCTCCAAAATGGTCGCAAAATTTGACTTTGTTGCAGTCTGGAGCCAATGGTTTAACTACCATGCACAATGACCAACGTTTTCCATTGACCCATAACAAACTCACCAATGGTATAACTACCATGTAATGTCAGACAGACAAACATACAGACACATACAGACCCCACTGTGATTTTCTTATGAGATCAAATGTTATTGCTACCAGGACTGTTTTACACACACAAGCTCCAGTTAGCTGGCAAAAAAACTGCTCCACGGGCACAGTGAGGTGTACATACAATCTTTATCAAGTTCCAGATCCCAAACTTGTGAAAATTAAACATTATCAAACAAACAAAAATTGTAATTTTAACATTGTAACCTTTGAAAAAAACATATTTATTATAACACTAGACTGGTTAAGATGAGTATGCATATAAATGGAAAAGAAGCTAACAAAAATAACAAAGATTTAATCACTACTCCTCCCACACCCCCCACCCTCTATCTCTAGCCCCCTTACAGTAGGCTTGGCTGGTATCTAATTTTTCATACCACGATACCATTCACACCGCAGGGGGATTTGCCGAAGATAAATTGTGCCAAATTAATACACTGCAGTATACCAACAATATTATGGTAATAATGCCAAGCCAACCCTGCAAACACTCCCCACCTCTCCAAAATCTGTTAAATCTGTATTAAAAGCCTAACATTGTGCGACATGTCTCAGTTTAATCAGGTGCAACAGATTTGCGCCTGTTCTTTCATTTTCTGACACTGAGTAGGACTAGGGCTAAATGTCATGATTAAAGTCCTTCATGATAAATTTTGCCGACTGGTTACCAGAATGCTACTGAAAAAATTTGCCGAGTGGAGGGGCCTGGCGACAAAAAAATATACACAGCTGTGTACAATCCACCACAGGCTAGCGTTAAGCTAGCTCTGGAGGAGCTGCAGGATGCTATTAACAGTCAGATGAATGCACACCCAGATGGAGCTGTCATTACAGCGGAGGATTTCAATCAAGCAGACCTTCTATCTGTAATGCACAAACTACACAAAAATGTGCATTTCCCCACCATTGATAATAACATTTTGGATCAGGTCTACACAAATGTGTCTGACAATTATAAAGCTCATCCTCACATCTTGGACTGTCTGACCATATTTCACTTAAAGTGATTCCATCATATAGACCTTTAATCTGCAGAACACGTCCAGCTGTCAAAACTGTTCAAGTCTGGAGTAAAGAATCCACATCTCGACTACAGGACTGTTTTGAAAACACAGACTGGGAGGTGATTGCAGAAAACACAGACCTAGAGGAATACAGCTCATCAGTGCTGGATTACATCGCCTTCTGTACTGACACAGTGCTGAGCAGCATAACCACCAAGGTCTACCCAAACCAGAAGCCATGGCTCGACAGAAAGGTGCAGTTCCTACTCAGGGCATGAGACGCTGCCTACGTGTCAGGAGACAGGCTGGCTTACACCAGTGCCCGGAGGGAGCTGAAAAAGGGCATTAAAGAGGCCAAGCAGAGATACCAACGGCGCATTGAGACTCACTTTGAAAACAACAACCCTCGCAATATGTGGAGAAGCATCAAGACCATCATGGACTACAAGAAGCGCCTCGCTAACAAATCACGATTAATCGCTTCCTGATGCCCTGAACCAATTTTTTTGCACGTTTTGACACCCACAACAACAATGAGGACACTCAAATAACTCTGCCACCCAGGGAAGAGCCGGGGCTTGTTTTACAGCCCCACCAGGTGAGAATGACCCTGGGGAAGATCGACGCCTCCAAAGCAGCAGGACCAGACAGGGTACAAGGCTGCACACTGAAGTCATGTGCTGATCAGCTACCAGGGGTGGTAACAAACATCGTTAATCTGTCTCTGCAGGAGGCTATAATCCCCACATGCCTCAAAACCACTACCATCGTCCCAGTACCCGAAAAGCAAGCAGTCACATGTTTCAAGGATTATCGTCCTGTTGGTCTAACACCGATTGCCGTGAAGAGGCTTTTTCTCGCGCACATCAAGGCCAGCATTCCCACTGATCTGGATAGCCATCAGTTTGCTTACCGGGGAAACAGGTCAACAGAAGATGCAATTTCAGTTGCACTTCACGCTACCCTGTCTCATCTGGAGCATCCCGACACATACGCCAGAATGTTATTTATTGACTTCAGCTCCACCTTTAACTCAATAATCCCTCACAAACTGATTACCAAGCTCACCAACCTGGGGCTAACCACCACTCTCTGCTCATGGATTCTGAACTTTCTCACCAACAGACCACAAAATGTTAGGGTCGGAAACCGCATATCATCCAGTCTCACACTGAGCACAGGAGTACCACAGGGCTGTGTTCTCAGCCCAGCCCTATTCACACACGACTGCACACCCATCCATACCTCCAACACCATAGTGAAATTTGCAGATGACACCACAGTAGTGGGACTGATAACAGGAGACGATGAGACCCACTACAGGGAGGAGGTGCAACACCTGCTACAGTGGTGCTCAGACAGCAACCTTGTCTTGAATACAGCCAAAGACAAAGGAGATTGTTATGGACTTTAGGAGAGCCAGGAAAACGACACCTCCCCCCCTCCACATAAGACATCAGGGCAGTGTGTGGCTCAGTGGGCTACGACTGTGTGCCTGTAATCAGAAGGTCGCTGGTTCAAACCCAGCCTCAGCACGTCTGTGGCTCCTTGAGCAAGGTCCTTAACCCCCAGCTCCCTGGTTGCTGCTACAGGTTGCTGCCCTTCATGGACAACTTACTCTACAAAGAGCAAGTTGAGGGAGGTGTAAAGAGAATTTTCCCATGGGGACAATAAAGTATCGATTATTAAATTCCTGGGGATTTACATCTCAAAGGACCTGAAATGGACTGTTAACACCTCCTACCTGGTGAAGAAAGCTCAACAGAGACTTTTCTTCTTAAGAACATTTAAAAAAGCCAGACATCCCACTCAGCTCCTTGTTAACTTTTACAGGAGCACAATAGAGAGCATTCTCTGTTACGGGGCTACAGTGTGGTACTCCAGCTGCACGGTATAGAACCGGAGAGACTTGGGTACCAAGCTGAGAGCTCCCAGGTCTGAACAATGTTTATGCCAGCCGACTATGTAGGAAGGCTAGCAACATCATCAAGGACCCCACCCACCCGGGTTACAAACTGTTTGTCCCCCTCCCATCGGGCAAAAGATTCAGGACCATCAAGTCACGAACAAACAGACTGAGGAACAGCTTTTTCCTGAGAGCAGTGGCCTCCTTCACACCCCTTCCCACTACAGAACACTGACCATTAAGTCACTTCCACACCTTTGTATTGCTGCTGATATGCACTTGGTCACTTTAATCACATTGACTTGTAAACACAATTATATAATGTGTTTTATTAATAGATAACGAAGGTTTTATTCATATTTATACCATGTATACAAGACTGTATTCTATAATAATGTGGTACATTAATGTATACCTCTTTGCTGCTGAGCCGTGAGCTACCAAATTTCATTGTATTTCTGATACAATGACAACAATAAACAATTAAATTAAATTATTAAATCAATTAAATTAAATATAGAAAAATGTCCACTTACTTTTGTTTTTTCTTCATACCTGTAAATGGAAATCAACACAGTAACACAACTTTTATGTTAAAATTTAAAGACATTGACTCACCATATGGACAAAAGTATTGACACATGGACATTACACCTACAGAAACTTTTATGACATCCCATTCGAAACCCATAGGCATCCATGTAAATCCACAGGCATCCACCAAACCTAGACTCGTCCATCAGACTGCCAGACAGAGAACCATGATGCATCACTCCACAGATCACGTTTCCACTGCTCTAGAGACCAGTGGCGGTGTGTTGTACACCACTCCATCCGACACTTGGCATTGTGCTTGGTGATGTGAGGCTTGCATGTGGTTAATCAGCCATGGAAGCCAATTCATCATGCACTGTGTTTTGTGCTGGGGTTGATGCCAGAGGAAGTTTGGAAAGTCAATTAAGGTGGTATCCTATTACAGTACTACACTTGAATTTGCTGAGCTCTTCAGAATAACCCATTCTTTCACAAATGTTAGTCAACCTGACTTCAGAGCTAAGTGCTTGATTTTATATACCTGTGGCAATGGAGTTGAACAAAACACCTGAATTCAATGACTGAGAAATGTGTCCCAATACTTTTGTTCATACAGTGTGTGTAGTTCATTGTAGTTGTCAAGTGGTAAGTAGTAATACTGATTAATTAGCCTAACAATTCAGAATTATGACATCATACAGTCACAACCTTGTTGTTCATCGTATTATACTCATCTTGAGAGGATAAATTCTGGATAATAAATGTTAGTATGAGTACCGAAGGGTGGCAGCATGACTGAGGTATGTGGAGATGTAAACAATAACTGGAAAGCTGTCAACAGGCTGTAAACATCCCAGTATACATATTAAACCTCTATGGAAAGCTATGCATCATATCCCTGTTATACTTACAGTATGCAGACATCTGTATAACAAACCAGCCAAAGAGAAAGACAGACCCAGAAATCAGGACAATCAGCCGTAGATCCAGTGGCTGTTTTCCTGTGTCTGAAATGATATGATCACAAAAATCACTGAGAACTGAGGTCAGTAAAGGAGCTGTAAGTGACAGATATTAAACCACAGGAATCCATATATTTCCCAAAGGGTTTGTACAGTTTATCTACATTAAGCTAACATAGTAAAAGTAAAATTGGGGAAGAAAATGTATTTACTTGCTTTCCATACTAATTCTGTAGCCATGGCTACAGAATTTAGGAGAGGGAGACCAAAAGTCCCTGAGAAATACAAATATTTACGGGGTTTGGCTGAAAGGTAGAGAGAAAAGCATATTAGTCATACATCTACATGTACACATTCAAACAGACAAACATCTATCATTGAATTTTTCACTCTTACACATTTTCAGTGTTCTTTATTGTTTTGATGAAGAAATAGATGATTAATTTTTAAAAAACACAAAAATTTAATTAAAAGATAAGAAATTCATATTTACAATTTTAAAGGGTCAGTTCAACCCTAAACTGAAAAATATATATTTAGATAGGCTTTAGTGCTATCTATTCTTCTAGGTTGTTCTGCTGGAGATATTAGCCGTAGAAACGTGCAGTGATATGAAGAGCACTCTAACTCTTCTTTACTGAATTTTATGATGCGAACATAGTAACAGCCCGGCGTATTGTAAAACATGTCTGCAGTGTATGACTTTATTTTTAATAGCCTTATAATTTTATTTAAATACACTACATGGCATCTTCTATTAAACCTATATATGTGTAGAACACGTTTTCAGAGTCAACTATGTTTTGGGTTGTGGATGAAGTTAACCTGATCCACTCAGGATAAGCGATGTAAGAGTCTGCTGTTTCAAGAATCCCCCTAATTTACTTGTGCAGTCAGGATCTGTTAGTGAGTGAGCTGGAAGAACCCAAGTCTGCCTGGTCCAGCTCTGTTATATATTCAGCAGCTCTGAGTCTGCAGGAAGTTCCTCTGATCCATCCATTCTGTCAGCTCCACTGAGTCCACTGAGTCAATGGTTTTATGCAAGTTATGTGCAGATGGACTGGGGCATGTTGTACTGAGGTTGAACAATTTACAAGGAGAGTAGTGAGTGACACAGTTATTTGTTTTAATTTTTAAAGTCACCTGGTGTTAACTGCACGTAGGACCAAATATTCTGGGTTAATGGAGACTACAGACTCATCACCCTCAAGTTATTAGACAGATCCAAGTTAATGATCTGAGTTAGTCAGGATTCGCTCACTGCCACTATAATCACTACAGAAAGAATGCCATTCACTCCCATTACAACCAAGAGAGGCCAGATATTTCTATGGTCAATATCTCCAAAACTAGGCATCTCCCAGCAGAAAGCCCTAGATGCAGATAGCTGTAAAGCCCTTCTAAAACACATAATTTTCAGTTTTTGGGTGAACTGCCCTTTTAAATTATACAGAACTAAGAGACGAACTTTAAAAATACCATAAAAAATTTTGAACTGTACCAAGTAAATCAGCCCGATCCCAGTTTTTAAAGCAGAATGTGACAGTCAGAATGTAGATGAACACAAATTGGCACATCTTTTCAAGTCGTTCTGTGGTCAAAATTAGAGTTTCAGTTTAAAATACAGCACTTTTTCCTCAAACATTAGTAAAAAAGTACAAAAATTCTTAACAAAACCGCTTCATCATTTAAATTATGTGTCATTCTTGAAACTTATACTAGGTATTACTTTTAAGATGAGGCTGATCGTGCCCTTACAGTATGTTTCATATGGAATACATAGGAGTAAATGCATTTGTATTTAAACGGAGTACAGTTCAATAAAGCTTCACACTAGAAATGATGGGGGTGGCTGTGGCTCAACAGATGTACTAGAAATAATTACAGCTTTGTAGCATTTGCTCGAGAAAGTATTTTGATGTCAAATTTTTATAAATAGCAAAAATGGCTGACAGTTAATTTTCTTGTATAGTCAAACGGATCCCTTACAATCAGTGTATTTCCTTACCTTTGTTATTTTCCAGAAGCAGACTTAGATAGTGGAAGTGTATTATTGCGTAGAGCATGAATAAAATCCCCAAAAGGCTTTTCTGAGCCAAATCTAAAAAGAATTATGTAATGAAAAACAACAGGTTAACTGAATATAAATAGAAGCAAGCCTTTATACATTTTTTCTTTTTTCTAACATACATTTAAAACCATGTACCCTAACGCTTCCTCACACACAGAGCAGAGCTCATGTACCCTAACCCTTCCTCACACACAGAGCAGAGTTCATGTACCCTAACCCTTCCTCACACACAGAGCAGAGTTCATGTACCCTAACCCTTCCTCACACACAGAGCAGAGTTCATGTACCCTAACACTTCCTCACACACAGAACAGATTTGTTCTTCTATCCCAACTTGTGATCTAAAAGCAAGGAGGCTGCCACACATAATATCTGCTCTATGGCAATGCTCTATGGCAATGCACTCCCATAGCCACCTTTTTTCAGTCCTGCTAAATTATGTTGTGCAGCATAACAAAAAGCCCTTGAGCAATGAAAAATAATGAATGTAGTGAATTACTATATTCTCAAATTACTTTTTGTAGTTTTCGGAACAACATTTATTAAACAAACAAATCTACACTGGCAGAATGAACAATTAAAAATGAAAATAAACTATTATTTAACAAATATTCCTTGGAACAACAAACTGTGGAAAACTGTGAATTTACAATATTTTCCTTGAGACCTGAAGGAAGAGTCCGTTAACGTTTTTTTTACAGTGTAAGAATGTTGTGTTTAGTGTGAATTTACATAAGAATGTTGTGTCGTGTGGTTCCACACAACTGTCTTATTTGAAAGTAAACTAATTTGGCAGAGTGCTTATAATGTTTAACTTTAAATGATTGAACACAACATTGTTAATTTGGATAAACATGACATCATTAATTGAATTCAACATAAGAATACTATTTATCTTCAATTGATGGAACACAACATTGTTAATTTGATTAAACATGACATCATTAATTGAATTCTATATAAGAATACTATTTATCTTCAATTGATAGAACACAACATTGTTAATTTCATTGAACATAACAGCATTAATTGAATTCAACATAAGAATACTAAATAAAAATGAGCTAATCCAGTTACTTTGAATATTTTTTATTTCATTGAGCCCATAGTAAAGAATTCAGTATCTTAGAAGTTATGTAACACAGTTTCGTGGAACCACTTGACATAACTTTTTAAATTAAATTCAAGAAAATATTTTTTTGAGTGTTGTTTTACTGAGCTGTAATGAGGATCATCCCATAGTCCTTCACCATGCCCCAGCATAACAGGCTTATCAAAGTTGAATACACAATACTTACAGAAATATCTGGATGAGCATCGCACATAACTGCATATGAATATTCCAAGGGTAAGTCCAGCAATCGACAAAACATATTCTGAAATCAGACAGCAAACATTACTACACATTAGTGTTGTAATAATCCCCCACACTGATTCCACATTCACACATTCAAATATATATAAGAATATAAATGTTATTGTTTATTGCTAATGTTTATGATTCTTGTTAGAGGCAAAAGTTTTACCCATGTAAACACATTATATATCCTTATGTAAAGTAAAATGTTAGAATCCCAGTCACGTGACCCTCAAGATTATAAAGACAATTAACAATAAAGGAAACACTGTCAAACACCCTTTTCCACTGTGAAACACACAGATGTGTGTTTATTCATTCATCCCCCTGCTATCCAGAACCCACATATACATCAGATTTAATGGATTTGGACCAATCAGGGATCAGTCCCACACATACAGATCCAGGGCCAAAAATTGAAGCCTGGAGGTATTGTGCTACAACAGCACTCACAGAGCTACTGTTCCAAAATATATAGTACAGAAATAGATTAAAACTGATAATAAGTAGAAAAACTGCAGAAAAACTCACCTAATATTAATGTCTTGTATGGGATGGAAATGAAAAAGGGAGAGAAACCAAGGAGCAGCATGTTCAGCACTGTGGGATTTTCTGTAAAGACAAAGAGAGCAAATCAGACACCCTCATTCTCTCATCAGTCTATACAGATATAACATGATATTAAATAACAAAGTGTCCTTGGTCTTTTCCTCCCCTGGGATAAATCCTGCCGTCCCCAGGGCCCGACTGCACTGTGAGGTCATGCACAGTAAGGCCCATGATCCGAGGGCAGCGGGGCTCAGAACACAGGCCAAGGAGTCTAATGCCCCCGAGAGTCAGAGGGTCCCTCAGAAACCTGTGACGACCAGGCACACCCCCAGCCTGTATCACCCACTCCATCAGGGAGGTGTCAACATGTGTGACAGTACTCCACAGATGGTCAACTGTGGCTTGATATAAAGCTGAAGCTAATGGAACCATTTGAAGACTAATCCAAATCTAATCTAACACAAGCACAAAACCATCAATATTATAGGAAGGCTGCAATTTACTTCATACCACACCATAACATATTCTACATTCAAGCTGTAAGCCAGTGAGCTGGGCTTCTTCAGAATAGGTTGAGATTTTTTTGACCCCATCCTTTGCTTTACAGAGTTGGACAAAGATGACATACAACAGTCCAAATGAAATCAGAGCCACCATGCCATACATCATTGCCTCTCTTTGTGTGAGACTGGTGTTAGGGTGCAGCCGAATGTTTCACTGTGTGTTATCAATATTCCAAAAGAGGAGTTGGTAAGGTACCCAAACATTCATATCCAGTATTTGTACACATGTACAATACATACAGTAATCAAGTTTATATATAAACACTATACAGTATGTCAATATTGTTTTCTTTGCCTATGTTGTGTCCTGAATAACAAGAGATGTTCTGTTTTCACAAAAGTGAAAGAAGACCTGCAGCTGGTGGGTGCAAGAAGCAGAGACTGGTCAGATGTAGCTGAGGAACAATGGCTTATGTTTATGAGAAATACAGGCCACTGCAATTGTAGACCATACAACATTCCACAGATTTTTTTTTTTAATTTAAACCTTTATTTTACCAGGCAAAGCATTAAGAACAAATTCTTATTTACAATGCCAGATTTTATAATATCTGTATATCAGCTATTAATAGAGTTTTGAAACACAGTTGCGTCAGAAATTATACATACAGGCTGAAATATATACATACACCCCCTCTAATATTTGGTTAAATGTCCCTTAGCAAGTTGCACCTCGACTGGCCATCAACAAGCTTCTGGCATAATTCTGGCAGGATATTTGACCACACTTCTTGGCAGAATTGGTAGAGTTCATTTAAATTAGTTGGTTTCCTGGCACAGATCCAGCTTTTAAGCATAATCCACAAGTGTCCAATATGGTCGAGGTCAGGGCTTTGGGAAGGCCATTCCAGAAGCTTAATTTTAGCCTGCTTTATCCATTCCAAAACCAGTTTTGATGTGTGTTTGGGGTCATTGTCCAGTTGGAACACCCAATTGTGTTTGACTTTCATGCACGCATGACTTGCTTTCACATGCACATGTGAAATTATCTTATGCTCACGTGAAAGTAAGAGCATTTTATTTTTTTGCAAAATTCTCTTCAGGGGCTCTGTAGTTTGGGGCACAGTTTCACAACCGAAAAAATAACTAAGACATTTGACAAAATTAGTTTGTCTGATATAGGACTACAATCTTTGTTAGGTATATGTTTTGTCTTCTGCTTTGCCAGGTAACCTGTCAGAATTAAGGTAGTCTGGGTTAAATGGAAGTGAACAAAGATGAAGTCCACTTAAACTAGGGTACCTTACAGTAAATCTTACAAATTTTCTGGCTAAGCAAGAAATCCAGCTTTGTGACACAGGCCCCTGTTCTCTTCTTAGTTCAGGGTACCCCAGTTTAAATGGACTTTATCTTCGTTCATTTTCATTTAGCCCAGACTACCTTAAATCCAACATGTTATTAACCAATCTCGTCTTGTGTTAACGCACAGGCAATTAACAGCGGGCCAGATAGACTGCTGCTGACACACTCACACAGACAGGAACAAATATGTATGATTTTAGGGTTTATAAATGTTCTTGCTGTACCTGAAAGGAAATGTCAACAGTTTTGCAGTTAGCAGAACTAAATTTAGCAGAAGCTAATTGGTTCGACAATGGTTTTAAAAGTTAGCAAAAACATTAATCCGCCAACAAAAATGTTAGCTTCACCAATTAGTGGTTAGCAAACCCTGTCCTCCACTGCCTATGAGGAAATGCCAATGATAGTTACTATGACTGAGGCATATAGGGTAATCCCAGCATTAAACTGCCAGGACTGGATCAGACATGTCCAGAGGTATTTCCCTCATTCCATTGCCACTGAAACTTAGGATGTTGATGAAAACGCGTGGTCCGATGTCAGAGAAAGAATAGATCAGGCAGAGTGACGTTAAGGGCAAAACTTTGGATAGTATTTAATTGACTGTTTCTTGCATACATTCTTGGTTTCTTGATTTTGCGTTTCAAGTATGATTGTAACTGTACACTGTAAAACCTGACGAGTTATGTCAACTCAAACTGTTTGAGGAAACCGATTGCCTTAAATCGTTTAAGTTTATGAACTCAAACAATTAAAGTAAAAATATTTTTTTGTATTGAGTAAAACTAACTTAAGTAGTCATAATATAAGCAACTTAGTTAAATCAAGTTAAGATGATCAGCTACATTCATTCACTGTAAAACCTAACAGTATTTCTTAATAAAAGAAGTTAATAGAACTTAATTTTGCCTAAAAATTGGATTCACTCATTTCCACAAATTTTCACTTTACTCAAAAATTTATTGTTTGAGTAGTAACTCAGTTGTTTTGAGTGTACTTCGATTTTTGGAGCATTTTAAGTTGTGGCGATATAATTCCAGTTTGTTGCATTAACTAATTTCCTCTTAGTTGACTTCATGATCACTACACTAAAACCTGACGAGTTAGTTCAACTCAAACTGTTTGAGGAAACTGATTGCCTTAAAGCATTTAAGTTTATGAACTCAAAAAATTAAAGTAAAAATATTTTTTTGTATTGAGTAAAAGTAACTTAAGTATTCATAATTTAAGCAACTTAGTTAAATCAAGTTAAGAGCATCAGCTGCATTCATTAGTTTGATTTAAATGACTTGAGTAACAATAACTTAAATGCATCCTCCTTATGTAAATGCTACTATTTAAGTTTTATTTACTCAGTTTTCTTCCTTTAAGATTTATCATTACATTGTAGTTGTGACAACTTTTAACCTAGTTCTGGCTACTCAGTTCATTTAAGGAAACTCATTACCTTGAACCTTACACAGCAAATGTGCCAGTGTTAAATTAACATTGCATGGTGTTTAAATGTGTCTACATTGAGTGTTACCTTTAGCACTTTATAGTGTGCAGTGAGGTTTTTATGGTGTTAATATTTATTAACTCTTATAGTGTTCAATTTACACCATAGGGTGTTTTCAATGAGTCGAGTACATCGTCGGCAACGTAGTGTACTTTTCGCGTCTATTTCAGTTTATATCTCACTGAAATCTTAATGTAGAATCATGAAAAAACGCTGGCTAAATCCGTATTCTGTCTTCTTTTCAAAACGTCTATTGTCGGAAGTATTAAAGTTTTTAAAATTAGGTTAAATCAGCAAAAAAAGTAAACCATCTCACCTTACTTTGTTTTACCTGCATTGGGGGCGTGTAGTACCGCTCTCACCCGAACATCGCTATTCACATTATAAATAGCTGCATTAGCGCGTATTCAGATCGCATTCGCATGGTAATTTGATGAACAACACGGCGGTGAAACGCGATCCAGATACATCCCCATCAGCGCCATAAAAGGGGGAAGGGATGTGGCCAGGTGACAATGGCTCATTCATACACATGAAAGTTGCTACATATTCAATGAAAGGAGCCAGAAATAGTGCCATGAATTACCTTTTTCTTATTTATTTATCCAACTGAATGTTGCAACTACACCATTTAGTCATCTTGATGTAGCCAAGACTTTGGTGATCAGATATCTGGGATCAAAACAAACTGTCAGCATTGCTTACTATGTACTTTTCTCACTGTGGATGATGGTCTTCTGTTAAAGGGCACCAGGCTATTGATCCCTGTTGATATGCAGCATCAAACTGCAAAAACTACATGAAGGCCATCAGGGTGTTTCTAGATGTAGACAACAAGTCAGAGACTCAGTATAGTGACTTTGCTTAAGTGGACAGTCAAGTGAACTGATCCAAAACTGGAAAATATGCATTCCTGAAAGACCACTGCTTCATTTGTGCCAGAGCATGTCAGAGTTCCAGCACCTCTCAGGTGTGCTCTGCCACCTCAAACACTACACCCAATATTAATTTCAATTAATTTGAGTTACACTTCTAAATAAATGCAAGCTGAACTAAAGAAATGTATATTTATAACACTGGTAGTGTTGTACAATTTTTTGACATCCACCTGAATTATTATGTTTTGCTTATTTGACTTTTGATTTGAAAGGGGAAAACCACATGAATAAATAATAATAATAATAAATGAAGTTATCTTCTGTACCATTAAACTCATCCAATAGAGGAAGTCTGTCTTAGGGCGTTTTTCCACCACACCAAGTATGGTATTTTTGGTACAGTACTTTTGGTATTTTCGTTTTTCCATTGACTTCCAGTTGAGTACCAATACCAAACATTCCAGTATCAAAAGTGTTATACCACCTGGGGTACTTCTTTGGCACTTTAGTACTTTGGGGTGAGACTTGAAACACTTTCTTTGTCGATTGGTTATGCAAATAGCCTGCCTCTGAAACAAAACACAAATGCCGCCTTGAAAATAGCTGCAAACTCAGAAAATAATGATAAACGAAGTTAAAAAATGCAGTTTGGTTGTGAGAACATATACAAGAAAAAGATCTGGATGGCATGACAAGAAATTAAAAAGCATTTTGTTGAATATACTAATACTAATACATCACACTCAGAGCATGTTGTCCTACCAATGTGATTTTGTTGTAATAAATATTGGGGTATTTATAAAACAAAAAAGGAGTTCAGAAATT